ATATATAATCTACATCTACATCTGCATCTGTATATATTGGCCACCTTTGCATCACCAGGACAAAATACCTGACACTGCAACTGAAAGGAGGAGAGTGCTCATGGTTTCAAAGGTTAAGTCCATGGTTGTCTTGCTGCAAGGCAGAGATAACATGGTGGAGGAATGTGGTGGAAAAAACTACTGGACCTACTGCCTCCAGGAAGCAGGAGTTTGGAAAGAGCCAAAGAGAAGGGGCCAAAACCACATACAGTTTCTAAGTTCATGCCTCCGTGGCCCCATCTCCTGATAACCCATTCACCTGTGACTGCATGACCCAATCACTGCTCCAGGAACCTCTTAATCCAGTCAAGCTGATAACTGGCACACTTTCCACCACCCCAAATGTGAAAGTAACAAGTACGGGAACGTTACGGGCCCTGTTCGTGTTGAAGTGTGAGTGTCTGGAAAGGATCTGCTGTGTAGAAGACCCTCCAAACATGTCCAAGGAATGAATGAGTTGGGTTGGCAGTCCAAGGTTTCTTGTGCTGTCTTTAATCCCGGCTCTTCTTACACAAGTTCTTACACTTGCTGAGCCTTAGTTTCCTCTTTTGAAAAATAAGAGATAATCGTAACAGTCCCTGGGGGTTACACAACACTAACAACTACTACATGTTTGCTATATGCCAGTTGCTCTTTTGAGTACTGACATTTATTAGTTCATTTAGTCCCCACTCTAACCTGTGAGACAGGTATTCTTCTTCTTCTTCTTCTTCACTTTTTATGGTCATGTTTATTATATGGGTAAACAGAGGCTCTGAGAAGTTAAGTAATTTGTCCCAAGCTAGGACTGGGAAGGCTAGGATGTAAATTCAGTCCCTGGCTTCAAGGTCTGTGCCATTGTGTACTAGATTTAGTACCTTTTGTGAAGTACCTTCTCATAGCCCCTTGCACATACAACCACTTATCAGTGGCAGCTACTGTTAGAATTAGTCCCAGCGAGTCCCAGTGACCAGCACTAACCCAGAATATATCTAAGTGAGCATATCTGTCAATCTCTCAGGTTCTCTACTCATTTTTATTTTCTCCTTTTCAAGCAAGGCATTTTCTTGGGAGTGGTGGCAGTAAAATGCAAACTCTGCCCCTCTTCTGATCTTTGTAATTTCCTTGGGCTGGCCTCTCCTAATGTGGAATCTGCCTGTTCTTCTTCCTAAGGAGATACCTTATAGGGAAACCTTGAATTACTCAAAAAGGCCACCAAGGTTCTTATTTTAAAGGCAACCCTAATGTGAGAATCCATAGCATGTAGCAGGTATCTCAGGTAAGAGAGAGAGCAAGCCTAAACCATGCTTTTAAATATCTTCCTGGAAGATTGGCTGTGGAAGTGGAATATGTCTATCCCCAGTGGCCGGGCTTACCTGGAGGCCACCAAAGACTGCACGGACCTTCTGTGGCTGATGGAGGAGTCTTTTTTGCAAGTTCAAAAGCACGTAAAATTACAGAACTTGGTATAAACCAGACACAAATATTTGTTGAGTGCAATCACTATGGTTGGAATATTTGCTCTGAGCCAAACAGTTTAGGGATACATGAAATAGGTTTCTTATAACAATATCAAGTTGGTGTGGTAGAGATACCACAGAGAAAATCATTACTGCTAAGCACTGTCTTGGGTGCCCTCTTCCTTCACTGTAAGCCCCTGGAAGCTCCCACTTGCTTCTCTGGGCTTCCTTTCCCTACCCATTAAACAAATATGAGGACCCATTGATTCCTGAAGGAATTCTAACTTGCCAGTTGACAGTCATTATGCGCCAATATAAAATGAACACGAGTTTTCCAATGTGTGGAAAAAACTCCCCCAAGACCCCTGAGTGGTCTCAGGGGGTCTCAGTTTCAAGGCTCATTTAATATCCCTTTTCCCATTTATATACAGTGCTTCACATTTCTTCGATTCAATGTGCCCTGAGAGAAAGCTCTTTTCTCTGAGGTGAACTAATTACATCTGTAATTGCTAAATCAAGCTACTGTATCAACACAGTTTAGTTCAAGTCAATTCGTAATATTGCCCCATTATGATAATGTTTAGAGAAAAACTGTGCCTAAATCCTCTTATTCAAATTAATCCCCTTTCTGGTTTAACTTTGCACTTGAATGTGTGTGTGTGTTTATGTATATGTGTAAGTGTGCACTTGTAGCGTGCCTTTGGATAGAAGCTATTATGTCCAATATTGTTCTCTGTGGTTAAAATTCCTAGGCAGTTGGAAGCATGCCAGAAATGGAAATGGAGGAATAAAAAGATTGAGATGTGTATAGAATTTGCAAGAGGTAATATGTGTGTGTGTGTGTGTGTGTGTGTGTGCGTGCCAGCGAATAGAGACACACACATGCACAGAGACAGAGAGAGAGGCAGAGCCAGAGAGAAAGACAGTCAGAGAATGAGACAGCCACTCTTTTCTTCTATAACCAAATGCCTGCATGGAGACTGGCGTAGATGCTAGAGTCCTCAATGACAATTTTTTGCCCTGCTCTTTCTCTGGACCCATGTGCCCTGACCCAGGGAGACACCATTACATCAGCTCTACTCAACAGCCTTCAGCAAGCAGAAACTGCAGGACGCCCCTACCAAGAAGCCAGCACTCCCATTTGGGGACCTGCCTACTGGGTACCAACATCTGCACACCCAGCTCCAGTATGAGTGCATCTCCCCCTTCTACCGCCGCCTGGGCAGTAGCCGGAGGACTTGTCTGCAGACTGGGAAGTGGAGTGGGCGGGCACCGACCTGCATTCCTAGTGAGTTAAGGCTCGTTTCTGAGCTGGAGCATCTTCTGTCTTCCAAGGCTGCTTGAGAAAATCCTCTTAACCCGTTGATGACTTGTGGGGAAAATCTCATTCAAAGCAGTGGTCCTCCATTGTTTCCCCCAGTTTGGTGTTGTTTGAAATTCCACAGTTAGAACTTTACTTCTTTGGCTTAAACTTACCACCCAGGAAGAACCTACTCCTTAAATCTTAGAAACCTATTTTCTTATAGGCAGTTTTATTACATTTGCTTGGGGAAGAGGGAGGGAACAGTAATTAAACACCAAGTGGAAAAGGGTTGAAAGGTGCCAGAGGACCTCTAGTTATGTCATTATGGTTACCCCAAGCTATAGCTTTCATGCCCATCATTCAATGATATCGATGAGGTAACTTGATTAAGTAATGAGTCATTGGTTACCTAACATGGTTATGGTAATAATTACTGAGATAGTAGGTGGAAATGGCTGGAATGAGGACATATACATACTCAGCTACCTTGCCCATCTTTTTTTGTAAAAGAATAGTATGGTTGAATTTATTGCAGTCATATTATGATGTTACTCTTCTAAAAACCCTACAAGGCCATTATTATTATTCTGTTTTATAGACAAGAAAACTAGTCTGTAAGAGATAAAGACAACTCACCTGAAGTCCTATTGGTAGTAAATGCCAAAGGTCAGAAACCACAATTCATTGGATAGCAAAGCCCCCAATACTAACTCTAGACTTTACAGCCAACCATGTCTAGAATGGTGGCTTAATATTTAAAGACAGAAGAACACAAGGTTCCATGGCATAGTGCCTGTTACACCTGTGGGTCCACCCTCCAGATTTGTGCCCTCCAGGCTGAGTGACACATTCCCTTTTGGATGGGAAAGGTCTGAATTTATCTTATAGAACCAATGCTTTCTCCATAGTCTGTGGGAAAATTGAGAACACCACTTCTCCAAAGACACCAGCGAGCCGCTGGCCATGGCAGGCAGCCATCTACAGGAGGACCAGTGGAGTACAGGAGGGCAGCCTGCACAAGGGCTCCTGGTTTCTGATCTGCAGCGGTGCCCTGGTGAACGAGCGCACCGTGGTGGTAGCTGCCCATTGTGTTACTGACCTGGGGAAGGTCAGCGTCATCAAGACGGCAGACCTCAAAGTTGTCCTGGGAAAATTCTACCGGGATGATGACCGGGATGAGAAGACCATCCAGAGCTTGCAGGTGAGACATGGCTCAACTTGAAAACTGGGGCTCTGGCTTAGCCAGCTCCAAGAACTGGAGAAGGGTGTCTTAACTCTGTCACCTTAGCATGTCAGTCACTATCCCAGAGCCTGGCACCCAAATTGGGCTCAGTGTTCTGTGTTGACAGAGCCAGAAAGTGGCATTTAGAAGGATCATGAAATCTTTTCTCCCTTTACCTGTCTAAAAAAATAAGACAGAGACAAATACCATCTATCAGTGCTGTCATCAAAAGTCAATCATCTCAGAGTAAAATATACTAATAGCGTATATGACAAATTATAACAAGTTAAAAATTAGTAAAATTATTTAATATCTCTCTCTGCTTGAAACCATCTGCTCTGTGGATAATGTGACTAGTCACTGTCTGTACTCTAATAGCCTAACACAGTGCCTAAATCATAGTAGGTCAATAAATGCTTCTTGAATAACAAAAGGATATCAATTACCCTTGACATTTGGGGATTATCCCAGATAGGCTTTGAAGGCATAAAAAGGTTTTTATTCAAGATTTTCCTAACCAATTTACAATACAATTCTCTCTTTTCTTGCCCCCGCCCTCTCTTCCTCATCTGTCCATCCATCCATCCATCCACCTACCCACTCACCCATCCATCTATCCATCCACCCACCTTCCCACCCACCCATATACCCACCCACTCACCCATCCACCTACCCCCCCATTCACCCACCCATCCATCCATCCA